CTAGGCATTGCAATTGGACGACTTATTGAAAAATGACATTGGGAGTTGAAAAGACAGATTCGGTAACTGCCATATCTCTTAAGGATATTACTCTAACTTGAAGTACTAGACTGCCGACAATACTTATCACTTAAAACAAATGCTTAGCTATATTCCAAAACGGTGTCTCAAGGATGCACGTGACCCATGAGGAGAGCTACTGTTCTTCTGAAGCATCTCAGGTGAAAATGAAGAATTCGAATGATAGAGATCTCCTCCTGCTGCCAAACAGAGGTGATTGTGCCCCGTAGAGGAACTATGGCCTCTCCAAAAAAGCATTTGTCTGGGCATTGAAAAGAGTCATTATTCATTGGTTTGCATGATCTTTAGCAACATGACAGGAAGAATTTGTAAGTTAAGAGACTGGAACAAGGAGTTTATCGGAATTATCTGGTATTTCCAGAATTTTATTTCTCTTTCCTGAGTAAAAGAGGTTTTATGGTCTGGAATTGTTAATCAGAATCAGATTGATCGACCCTGATGTCTTTGCTAACAATTCATTACTGTCAGTTTCGAGAATTTCAGTTTGACTTATCAAAGTCAACTGAAATCTAATTCAGAGGAAGCTTTTATCTTTGTTAGAGGAAATGAGGAAAAAATGGATATTGCAGGAAAAGTTAATTTTAGACTGTATCTTCAATTACATAATTTGAAATTTTTTTTAATATATATCATGCATTATAATGTCTCGTAAAGTAGTTGTATCGTTGATTAGATTAGAGGTATTTGAACTTTGAAATTAGTAATATTTGATAATTATTTTGAAGTTATAAGATGTGCAATCTTCTTTAATTGCAAATTATATTCATAGAAATTAATTGATTTGTATTTAGAAAGTTAAGAGAAATTTTAGGTAAAAAATTCGTGTCGTTATATCGAATTTGAGAAGATAGTAATAATAGAATATAGACATATTATAACTTACTGAAGATAATCGAGCCTATTTTAACTTACATTTTGTGACAGATAATTTTTAATCATTATTTCCCAAAATAAGTATCTTGCAGCTAAATTTTACATCGTATGTACTATTATCGTCGTATGCTTTATCTTAACTGGGGAATTTCCAATAACCTTTAAAACGCTCTTTAAAAAAATGGTAATTTTCAAATTATTAAAAGCAATGATCATCCAATATAAAATATTTAAACTTATCTGAAGATTAGTATTTTGGAATTTTTGAAAATTATTTATGAGAACAAGTGTTTAAAATTTTAACTTTCATCAAATTCACATTGGATGGATTTCTCATTTAATTCTCATAAAATTTACCCATTAATTTACTGAAATTCTTTTTTAGAAGTTTTAAAAATGAAAATTTAATGTACGTTTCGAAAGCTCGAAGTTAAGTCACTAAAAATGAGTACATATTTATATTTCCATCCTCCACCATCGGATACCTAACACAACAGTGGATACCTAATAATCTTACGGTAATAAGTGAGTGGTGAATAATTTACAAAGCCACTTAGTTCCTCGCAGGTGAGTATATATTTTAGCCGAGAAGGCAAATCTGTAAGTCTCCTGACAAGCTGAATGAGCGTTAACACCACAATATTTCCTATATTCCATCAGTACTTGAGGAGTTGCCAATGTCCTACAGTCATCGATTGGTGATCATGGACTATTGGAACACGAAACTCTCATTCACCACATGTGGCATCAGCTCAAAACTACTTAAAACAAAAAGTCCAGTGTTTCCCATCTCTCACGATAGATGGCATCACTAGACAATTCAATTAAGCCACATTTCACGGTTCACTTCACAAACACATCCTAACTCCAATGCCCAGTTAAGTTTCATTTTTACTATTTTGAAACCATGCTAGTTGAAATGGTTACAAAACTCCTATTTCCCATATTTCCTTGCTTGCTTTTTAAAACTGAAAAGAAAACTTAGTTGAGAAATAACCTGCGGATACTGTTATAATCTGCAGCAACCCCTACTTGCTGGAGGGCTTCTGCAAGCAAGTTCAAGTTTTTTCTTTCCTATGTACTTAGTTTTTTATTACACTCGTTATTATTATGAATAACGTTTTGTTTATTTAAAATAAAACTAGTATCCCAAACGCTAAAGGAAAATGCCATAAGTTCTGTTTAAAAAATAAAAGAAATAGATAAACTCATCGCCTAATTAGCATTTAAGCTCAATATTGCAATAGGGCAGTGTACTCATTAGGTAGGAAAGTGTTGCCACTTTGGAGAGCTGTGTAAAAAATGCGTCGTTGTACATGCTCCAAAATTAGAGTGAAAACTCTTTATATAGTTCTTTGCATAATTTTGCTTTTCAATATATTTATAAATTTAACTTTTTAAGTCAAAATGTTTTTAAATGTACTTCAAATATCGTTTAACATGGACGATAAAAAGAGAAAGAGAGATATTACTTCATCATCATTATCACTGACAGTATTTTTATTGTAATTACATGCGACGATTTTAAGGAATTTTTACACGTACATATTTTGAATAAATTAATGATACTATGAACGTGTGGATCTATTAAATGATTTTTCACAAATTGTAACACAATAATTCTCACGAAAAGCAAAAATATTTCTTAGAAATTTTTTAAATTTCCTTTGAAATTCCTGTCACATGTTCAACAAAATAAACAAATAAAATGAAAAATAAATAAATGAAAAGACTTACAAAAAAAGAAAGGACTGCAGTCGATTTCTTTTTGTATTATCATACATGTTGAATTATTTTCACTGCCCGCACACATTACGAACAGGAAAGTTGTCATTTAGGAGGAAATTTTTATACACTTCTTTAAGCCGACTCAATAGTGTAGCATTTATTGGGTAGCAGATAGTAGTTTTATTATTATTATTATTAATTTGAACTTTTATTACGGTTTTCATACTTATTTCAAAGTTGAACGTAAATATTATTTCTAAATGTTCTAAAGTATTTTAGTATGTTATTTAGAACCATTTAGAAATAAAATTCGAAACACTAAATCTATATTTTAATAAAAGGAAATATTAAGCTATAGTTAAATCGGAAAAGTGAATGCATCATTTTAGTATAAAGGAGTTAAAGTATGCAAGTTCAGTATTAAGTTTTACTGTTTTGAATTTATAATATCATTAAACACAATTATGACTTTTAAAAAGTCTTTGTTTCAAAAAAAAAAAAAAAAAAAAAANAAAAAAAAGAAAAAAAAAAAAAAAAAAAAAAAATGAAGAAAGAACGAAATAATATAAATTTTCCTTGTCAGGCCATTTCTTGATAATATGATTCTATTTAATGGTAAAAAAACTTTTCACTCTCATTCTTCAAAGTCTATATACATAATGACTACTTTAAAGGCTGGTTTTAAAATCTTATGATCGAGTTGTTTTTCTGTTCTTGTTTATTTTCTTTTTTTGCTATTACTTTTTGCCATTACAAGATAGATTTTTAGCAATAACAATCTGCAACTATATCAATAAAAGAAGTTTAAAATGAAGTTGTTGCACATTTTCAACTTGATTTATTGCGTTTCGTTGTGCAAATATTTTTTGTTAAAGTTTAATGTAAGAAGATAAAATCAGATACACATTAAAATTAAATTTAAAAATTTTAAAAGTTAATAAGATGCGTAAATTTTTGATAGTTAACAATATATTCCCATTAATTTTTAGTTTCTTTTAAGAAAAAGTAAAATTCAACGCAAGTCTATTATTAAATGTATGTATTTAATGTATGCATATAATGTTTATATACCTATTGTAATATACACAGTTTTTAAACGAACAATTATCTTATTCAAACAACTTAAAATAATAATAAAGTTTTTATTAATTAATTGATTGTTTTTATTGAAAAAAAATCAAATCAGGAAAAAAAAAAAATTTTTTGTGTTTTAGTTCACCCAAAAGAATTTTTAATTATATTTTAAAAACATATTGTTTTTTTTTTTCAGTTGAAGTATCATAATATAGTATTTGCAACCAAATTTGAAGTAATTTTTTCAATTGATTATTAAACAAATATTTGAAAAAAGCAGGCACTGAAAATTCTCACATGCATACTATTATTTTTTAAAAAATCAGTTGAGAATGTGACTAATAAAATACCTGAAAATTTTAATTAATTTATGAAAAAATATTGTAATTACAGTTTAATGTAAGCAAATGTTTTATATTCATTCCATCATTGCAATATAGTAAGAGCAATAATAGTAAAAGCATTACAATAATAGTAAAAGCATAAAGCTTTTAATAAAATATATGCATAATATATAAATAATTTAATATAATATATAAATAATAAAATAATTGTACCTAAACTTTTATTACGTGTACACTGTTTGAAAAATCATTTATATTCAGCGAAAATTCTCAAAATTTATTAAGAAGAGAAAAAAATAAAAATAAAGTTCAAAATTTGTAATTTATAGAAAAAGAAACAAATAAATAAATAATGAATTTAAACTAGAACAAATAGACATAAAAGTTGCATTTAGTATAAAAATTACATTTGAAATATTAAGCTAAATTTATTAATGAAAAGAATTTGTAATTTTAAAAGAATTAGCAAAATTCACAGAAAGGAACAACAATCCTTTTTTCTTCCTTTCTGTCAAATACTTAGACTGATTTTTTGCGTATTTTTACGAGCCAAAAGGCAATATTTGAGAATTATTAATTTAAAGCATGATAATTATGAAAGAAATATCATCCCAATATTTATTCATAATTATTAATTTTATTTATTCATTATGAATACAATTATAAACTAATTTTTTATTTTAATGTATTTTTATATTGAGCTGTAAAAATATAATACAAAAATCTTTTTTTCTTTCCATATTGCCCTGATTTGACAATTCATGAACTTTTCAATTTCATCCGCTTATAGCTCTCCCCGCGAAGAAATAAAAAATAAAAAAAATGACGGAGGAGGGAAGAAAGATTGAAGGGGTAGCCGACTATCCATAGCCACGCCTTTCATCCTTTTTTTCTGACACTCAAACTCGCCGTGGCGACAACCGTTGGCGATCACCCCAAAGAGAGCAGAAGATTCATCCTCATCCAAAAGCACTTCGAAGAGACAAGGAGCTCCCTTCATTACAGAATCGACATTGATGACGAATGCATGAATTGAACTTACCGGCTGCCTTTGGACAACGTTTTTATCTGTTCTGCAGATCTTTCAGTATATTTATTCAACTAAATGAGATAAGGAATTTATTGTTTTGCATTGAAGAAGTCATTGTGGACTCCGTTAAAAGACATATCTGTGCTTGCAAATTGTGGTTGCATTGTGTTCCGTTGACATTGATGATTGTTAATAAGGTATCAAGTCTCGAAAATGTGACAACAATTTCAAAAGATAATATCGTATCAAATCATTTTAACAGATTGTAATAATTTTTTTTTCTCTATGAAATTATCGCAAGGATCATCGTTTAAAATGATTGATGTTGAGTGCACGTTTTAAATTGGACTTTTTTCAAAAAAAGTTTTGGACTGTAAGAAAGATTTGTTCAAGTAATCGTTATTGAAAATTATAATTCTGGTAGATCTATTGTAATGTTCATGTGAAAACTGTGTTCAGACTAGCGACAATATGATGGACCGAGACGACTGTAAACATGAATACGACGATGACCTGGACAATGCATCATCGAGTGGGGGTTCTCCCAGTAATTGTGATGGACTTTCTCCAGAAAGTGGCCATGGAGGCATGGCAGATGCCTTAGATGCGAACCCACGTATCCAGGCTGCTGTTTCTAAAGTTCTACAGAGCTATGACTGGTCACTGGTCGCCAAAACATCGCGCCTGAGTAGCGGCGACAAGAGAAAATCACACGTGAAGCGCCCCATGAATGCCTTCATGGTGTGGGCGCAAGCGGCACGCCGTAAACTCGCCGATCAGTACCCCCACCTCCACAATGCTGAGCTGAGCAAAACACTCGGTAAATTATGGAGGTAGGTAACTTTAGTTGATTTTTTTAAAGAACTTAAAGATTTTTTCTCTCCTTTTTTTTGTTGATAAACACGGCTCATAATTTTTTGATTTCATGCAAAAATAGAATTTTTATTAGTGTTGTTTTTTTTACTACAAAAAAACAACAACATTGGTTTCTCTACTTTTATGGTTTTTAACAGACTTTATACTTCATAGTTTTAAATTGTATAATACGTTAAAAGTTGTGATCAAATTTCACGACAATTTTTTAAAAAAATGTTTTAGTATCAATATTTTGTTGAAAAAGTTTAGTTTAAATTGAAACTAGAAAACGATTTTGGAAACGTCGTTTTTACAAAATATTGTGTTGTTTGGAAGACTTAAAGTAAAATGTTATGTTTAATTTTATATTTCTTTCTGTATAAATTTTTTTTATTTAATCAAAATTGCTATTAATTTCCTTTAAAGAACAAAACAAAAAAGCATTATGAGCAATGATTAAAAATGGTTCTTCAATATTTAAAAACTTTGAAATTCTTTTTTGAATACTATTAGAATGAACTTTTTAACTAATTTTTACATTAACAATGTTATGTGTTTTGTTTTAATATACTATTACTTTATTTTAACTTAAAATGATCGCTATTATTTCTAAAAATATATATTAGGTAAATCCATTGTACATACTAAAAGTTATAAAAAAAAAAGAATTTTAGTAATTTATTAAGAATACTGTTCTAACTACGTTTAGAATTGTAAAATGTTTTAAAAAATTATGTCTAAAAATATGCTGTTACGAATAGATACAATCTTGAGCAAGCGAATTGCGTATAAAATAATTTTTATTTTAATCTAAAGATAAAATCTGTTTTATTTACTTAAATTTGTACGTTTGGATATTTTATAATATTAAAGTGCTTCACAATTTAAAGGAAAAATAATTAATACCTGAAATAAAGATAATTAATACCTAAATTTCGAGAAATGAATACATTTTTCGTATTGCATGTATATTACAACTACGCTGTATATTATCACTTATTATATTTGTTACTTTCCCAATAAAATCTGTAATTCGAGATGAACTTTCATGTGGAAATCTGACGATCACACAGAATCCTATTGATATTATGAAAATTAAGAAGAAAAAAAAAACAAGCAATTAAAACTAACATTGGCTTGCTATTGCACGTGATAAGTATATTAATTAAATGGCGAATTTATTTTCATAAATGAATTCAATATTAGTAATATATTCTATATTAATAGAATTAACTAATTAAATATATGAATTTCATAGAAACATTTATTATATGTGTAAATTTGATTAATCACGTTTAAGAAATAATATGATATTTAAAATAATATTCTTAAATAAATATATTAGAATATTATTTTAATTATATATTTAAAATAATATATAATTAAAATAATATTCTTATAGATCTTTAAAAATTAAGGATAAAATAGTTTAATTTGTGATTCAGAGAAAAAGAAGCTAAGTGAAATGCTATGCTAAAAAAGATCCAGTGCACAGTTTAAATCTTAATGAAAAATGAGGAAATATTTTATAAAACGTGTATGTTACAAATTTCATCAATTACGATAGTTATCTTTTGTAGTTTTTGCATTATATTATTTTGAAATTGAGAAACATTGTAATTAAATCATCATTTACAAAAAATACACTTTATTATTTAACATCTCTTAATATGGATTAAAGCAAAATTTAATCATATTAAACAATTCTAAATGTGATAAAAACTTTTCTTTTTCCCCATGTGATAAATAAATAAAAGCACTATTTTTATATTAAAGAGAAATCAAAGCATTTGAGAAAATTAGTTAAAATGCACATAGTGATTTTTTAAGTATTAGTAATTTTTTCGAGTGATTTTAAACCTTTTTTTTACTGAAAGAGATTCGATGAAAAAAATTCAACTTATAAGCGTTGTTTAATGAATGTATGATTAGAAAGCTAACAACATTACTTAAAGTTATGTAAGAATTATAATTTTATTTTTAAAAGTTCAATGAAATTTTTAGGCTCATTAAAAAAAAATCATACGGAAAAATTTAAATAATATTTCCTATTTAGATTCAAGTTTTCAAATTAATCCTTAATCAATTATAAAGAAAAAATACCATTAAAAAAGGTGTCATTGTTATAAAATTAAGCGGTGATTATGTTTATTGATATTTAGTAGTAAAAAAAAAGTATTAAATCGTTGCTTATTTTGATAATTTTTTTTAACTCTATTGAAAAATGGTAGCTGATGCATACTATTTAATATGCATTATATTCCTTCGTAAATAATTATTTATTACAATAATTTTCTTGGTAACATTTTATTTTAGAATCATTTAAAGAAACCCCTAATCCTGTGATTTGAGAAATAATTTCCATTTTATTTCTTCTTTAATTTACAGAAAAAGAGAAATGATGCATATGCATGGCCCCTCATTATATACTAGTTTAAAGATGTCTTGTAATATTTCGCATATGTATGAAATTAAAAAAGAATTATTCCTAATTCAAGAGAAATGACAGAGAAAAAAATGAAATAATGTATACATATATATCTCTGGACAAAAAATTACTCATTTCTTTGACAATAAAACAAGCATTTTTTATGCTTCCACAACCATTTTAGATGTGATAAAAAACACCCACTTACAAGAAAAACTTGTTTCAAAAATTCATTTAAATATTATGCAATCTAAATATCAGATTTTGCTTTTCTCATTTATTGGGAAAATAAATAATTAAGAAGTACATACTCGTAAAAATGTAGATGCTTATAACTTAATTAAATAATTCTTTGAAAATAAATAAAGCCTCTGGAATGTAAATGGTGAAAACATAATTAAATTATTGAAATGTATTTTTTAACGATCCAATTAAGGTGAGCTGTGAGATTTTATTATTGTTTTTTAATTGGTCAGTTTTATATTAAATAGGTTACGGCTACGACTGGAATTTTGGTTCTTCAAATTTAAGAAAATTTTCAAATATGTTGATTAAAATATTTATCATGAATCTTACTAAAACGTTTAATAGTGTAGTATTCAAATAATTATAATATACATTATTTCCACACATTTGGGTGTTAAGATCGATCGTTGTGAAGATCAATGTCAGATTTATTTAGCTTTGAAATGAAACTCATTAAATTTCAATCGTGTGAATCTGCAGGGCTAAAAAATGTAATTATAGATATTTATATTGAGGAGATATTAAAATTGAGGAAAAGGTATATTCACAAAGTTTTAACACTGTTTAAAAATTTAATTATTGGGAAATAAGTTATTAGTTATTTAAAAATAAGTTTGGTGAGATTATCAAAATTGAAAAAAAAAAGATTTTGCTTTGACAAAATTCTTAATTTTTTATGCTATTAATTATCCTTTAAAGGTAAGCGGCAAATATGAATGCTGAATTGCATTGATTTTGATGAGAAAGCTAGAAATTTTTTTTTTATTGGTGGTAATTTTTCATAGGCAGTAGAGATAGTAATATAATATACCGTAATATATCGAAGCTCTAATTATTTTGTGTTTTCCATAGGTGCTTTTTGCGTGCTTTATATTTTTAAAAAATTCATATATTTATAATTCAAATAATTGCTATTATTTATCAAAAATGTAATGGTTTGATGTAAAAGAAGTTGTCGCTACTTTAATAAACAATAATCCTTTTTCTGAACTGAAAAGTAAGTTTAACCAAAAAAAAAAAAAANAAAAAAAAAAAAAAAAAAAAAAATAAAAAAAAAAAAAAAAAAAAATGGTTTTTATGCCATACTCTGAGGTATCATGATAAAATTGCCAATTTCACCCCATTTATCAAAATTTATCACATACTATGAAAGCACATTTTATTGTTAATTTTACCAAAATTATTAATATAGCGCTTCGGTAAAAAGAGATGAGTTTTATGGTGTTGTCATAGAGCCAAAAACACGGTATATTTTATCATAATCTGGTAGTTTTTACTCCACTCCTTTTTTCAGTGAAGCAACTCAAGTAATTATTCAAAAAAATTTTTGAAATTTATAGGACAAAATTTAAATAGTTCAATTACACCACATTAATAATGTATATTTTTTATAGTTAGAAATATTAAATATCAATTATTTAAATATTCAAATATATTTGAAACACAATAAGGTGAAATGAGTGATATGAACCCTTTGGGATTATTTGCGGTTAAAATATTTTCTTTAATAATTTAAATTTGATTAGCTAATAGCTATTCTGCTTTGAAACTTAACCTAAATAATGCAGCAATATGATGTCAGTTCCTTAAATAATTTTGAATATATTTTTAAACGAATTATAAATTACAAAAGCGTATAGAAAAAATATACAGAAAGTACGAAGCAATAAAAAAATTTGATAGTGTAACAATTATTTGCTGTTACACTTTATGTCGGCTCTAAGGAATGCAATTACAGAGTTGAAATTCGACTTGCTGAATGCATCATTTCAATTTGCGAACTTAAGCAAAGTTATATTTTTTCTGAAATCTCAACTAATTTGAAAGTTATTGATTTTTAAATTGCTTTTATCGCAAAGTCTTTCTTACTTTTTTTCGCTTTAATTAACTATAACTTATCTAAAGTTGTAGAAAAATTTTTGTAACTCTCTCGAAGTTCTTAGCGTTGTAAGAACGCGCTTGAGTTAATGACTAAAGTTACGGTAAAAAAAAAAAAAAAAAAAAAAAAAAAAAAAAAAAAGAGATAAAAATTAACATTTATGCTGAGTTTTTTTAAAAATATAAAAAACTTCATACCAAAGAGATAAAAAATAGTTTTCTATGTGAACGTTTATAATGCTATAAGAGTATTGGTAAAGAGTAAAATTATTCTCATTTATTTCCAATCCTTGAGTCATATCAGGAGTAAGTTTTAAAAAAAATTTATTACTTCATTTGATTCTTCTAAATCTAGGTAACTCATATTAACAAACTGTTCTGCACTTCTGTGGAAAATATTGACACTTAAGGGGAAAAAAGGAACAC